TTCTTTAAAGGCCTTTTTTCTCCAACATGGCTTTTTTCTTCTACTCAGAGACAGAAACATACACTTCAGTAGTGCCTACATACAAAAAACTTTGCAGTTTTGTTTGGGTTGAGTCATATATTTTAGTCATACCCTGATTTATGGAACATTTTATGGCAAAAACAAAGAAATTGGGTTGTTTTTGACTGACTGTTAACCGTTTTTTCTCATTTATGGAGTGATTAAAACAGATATCAAGAACCCCCGCTGCAAAAACGTTGACTCTATGATGTCAACAAAGTGAAACAAGAATATTGAAGGTGGTTTTATGCATTGTTCAGATTTAAATTCTGATAAATTATGCATACATATTTAGATAGATAATACCTCATTTGTATGTTTAAACTTAAAATTTTAGAAACTTCTATTATCAAAAAAATGTTGGCATGATGTGAGTGATCAGTTTAGGTTTCTTTGTCATTTCTATTGGCTAAATTTTTACCCTTTTCACTTTTAGTGAAGTGGAGGGCATCATGAACATTTAATCTGTTCTCATGCACTAGTTTAAATACTCATCACACAAAGCCAACTACACAGGAGTTTTAATTACATTCTGTTTTTCTTTCTGAAATGACCTCCTGAGTCTCCACAGCAACCTGAAATCCTCTCTGGTTTGAAGGTGATCTGTAAACTACAGACTCTCACTCCAACGGATAACGTTATTTCAAATGTAAATCAACGGAAACTCAAGACAAAAGACTAAAAGAGCTGCCATCAAGGTTCACTCCTTAATTCATTCATTGTCATATCAATGGGAGACAAATGGCCCACGTCTTGGTGTTGTTTCCAATCAGGCCTGCAGCCAGAACTACTGTATGTTAGAAACACATGTCCCGATGCCGTAAATCAGAACCCAATAAACGAGGTCAAGCAGAAAATAGACAAAGGAAGTGTGCACACATTTCTCCACTTGTCCAACAATGGAGGCTGAGCGGCGCAGCCAGCAGGACCGGACCTTGAGCCTGGTCTGTGCGCAGCCTGGTAGGATGAGGTGTGTGGCCTCTGGAGGGTCTTGGAGGACCTTTCGGCTTCCTGCCACTCGGTCTTCCAGAACTCCTCCCAGGAGGACGACAGACCCCACGGACAGGATAGGAGTCAGCAGGGCAGGCAGGAAAGGTAGCGGGAGGGTGGGCAAGGTAGGGGTTCCTGACCGGGGGGATATCCTGTGTTTAAGAGGAATCTCCGTGCGTTTAAGGCCTCTGCAAGAGATGCAGGCTCCATCTGAAGGTTTGCGGACTCTTCTGTGATGCAAAGAAACCTTTTAGATTATAAGAAAAGCTCTCTTCTCTGGCTACTGTAAATAAAGCGCAGAGCTTATTTCGTGGCACGCATGTGACTCCGACACCTGAGGCGACAAATCAGATGCGTCTGTTCTCACCCCGTCCCTGTCTCTCCTGCGTGGCAAACATTTCAAAGGCGTTCACACAAGACAGCCATCGTTAGTGGAGACACGTCGTTTCCGAAGGAGCGGAAGTGCTCAAGCTGTGGGTGACTCCGGATCTCTGCCGATGTGAGTCTCAGAGAAGATCATCCTCTTCACTGAGCAACAAAGTGTCCCTTCATTGCCCTCCTCTATCCTCTCCATTGTGCATCCTCCCCTGCCTCAGGTCTAAATGGAGGCCCTGTCGTCCGCGACGGGCCCGAGCCAGTTCAGAGGCTCAGCTGCACTGATTTGAGCGCTACAGGTAAAGAATAATGAGCGTCTAGCAGCATTTTACACCAGAGAGGCTACATGTGCAGGTTTCACTGATTCAGTCAAGTTGGCGACGATGAAGTCCAAACTGCAGCTTGATTCATGCGACACATTCTTCTGTAGGAAATAATTTAGAGTTGCAAAGTCAATTTTATTTGCATAGCGACTAATTACAAGTCATCCCAGTGCACTTTGCATAATAAGTAAGGTCAAGACCTCACAATATTATAGAGAGAAACCCAACAATTCCCCACAGAGCAGCACTTGGCGACAGCGTGGAGGAGAAACTCCCCTCCGACAGGAAGAAACCTCCGACCGACTCAGGGAGGGCAGCCGTCTGAGAGGAGGGAGAAAAAGATGAGCATTGATAAACAACAAACAGTGTCCTGTGTTGTTGCAGCCACACGTTGAAGGACTCTGGAACAACAATCTGCTGCCACACACAGTCCGTTTGTGTGTGTGTGTGTTTGGTGCTCAAGTTGTGGGGACAGATTTGTGTTTACACAGTCACAGTGTGGTGACTCAGCTTGCTTTTGGGGACAAAAAAATGCAAATTGCTTAAATGTAAGTCATCAAATTTTGAGGTGAAGGCTTGATTTAAAGCTAGGTTAAAGGTAGTGTTCAGACATGATTTAAGACATAAAAATGTCTCTTTGAGCAATAGTTTGGCTGTAAAAACTCAACAAAACAATCCAGATAAGTACATTTTGTTAAATGGCATCGTCTCCCTTCAGAATCACTAAAAAAAAGCTTCTTTTATTTATTTATTTTTTTACATTTATTTCACTTAAAGTCCATTCTCATTGCATGTGTACTGAATACTTTAGGTTTCTGCATCATTTTTGTGTATGAAACCACGAAATCTACCTTAAAATTAGATTTCTGGTTGACACAGAAAAGAACTTCCTCCCTTTAGATGAGCGCAAAAACAGCCTTCTGGGGTCAAACTCTACATCATTCTGCATGATGAAGCTCAAACATTCAAGAGAAGTACCTATAAGTGAAACACATTTTTGAGTGAAGTGGACATTTCACAGTGGACTTCAGGATTAATAAGAGTCCGACTGTAGTTTTACAACAACTCTGGGTCACATCACAAATTTGTCAGTAAAATATTTCCCATTTATACCCTCTATTGCAAGTTAAAGTGAAGTTTTTGAACAAAAAAAATCTTTAGTAATGTCTCAGGAAGCAGCCTAAAGTCATATATGTGCTACAAAATACAAACAAAAATGTTACGATCTGTGTTTCTGCACTTGTTTCAAATTGCAAAGTCTGGTTCACAACCCATTTGTGCAGTTTTTAAATGGGTCGTGCAGGTGTCTATAAAAATGTAGCCCCTCAGTAAAATTAACTCCCTGTAATACAGTCTGCAGTCCACACATGTAAGTGTCGCTCTCATATAAAGCTTCTTTGTTCCATCTTCCAGCTCTGGTCTACAGTAAGGCGTCGCCAGGCAGCTGCAGCAGTTGTTTGGCTGCACCAGGTTTAGCCGTAACACACATCAGAGTGAAGTTATTAAATCAAACTTCAAAACAATGTATGGGATCACGTAGCTTTGATACATCAGAGCACATTTTCATTTGAAAAACCGCTGTTGTAGCCACACAGAAGCCCACAGATGACCTCTTTGCATGACATTTTCCGGACAGGTGGTACGCTGAAGGGAGGCTCAGGCGCAGAAACCCACAGAGAGCAGACACTAATACTGAGCAATGTTTAATGCAAGACACATTTCTGCAAAGGAGAAGTCTTCATTTTGATAGAAGAGAGCAAATAAAGCTTAAACATTTTTGAGAAACGTCACTTTTCTGCAAGTCAAATTAGATAGCATGACTCAGGAAGCTTTGTTTGTCCATCATTCAAAAAGGGCAGGAATACAAGTTACATTTCAAGCCATTTCAGTCTATTTACAAATAGATATTGGGTTAATAAGAGCGGAAATAAACAAATAGTCTATGGAGGACAAAACGCTCTGGGCAAGAGAGTCAATACTGACACCCTGTGGTGACACCGGAGCTATTCTGTGTCTGTGAAAAGTCCTGCACTCCAGCTTTAATCTAGTCTCAGTACCAAATTATACATTATTTCTTAAACACATTTCAAGAGAAAGAAAAAGAAAATAGCCCAGACCATGTGATATTTTGTATGCTGCCAGTTTATTCCTCATAGCTGACCCTCTGCTGTCACAGACTCTGATTGTGTGAATCATCGTACTGCAGCTCAGGACCAGCAAAGCTCTCAGATCCTGTGAATTAGAGAGAATTAAAGCTTGAGATGAATAACTGAACGCATTGAACACATTCACTGGGATGTTTAGTTACATTCATCAGACACAGTTTAATGTATTTTTGAAATGACAGAAGATTATTACAAAACCTGCAACCATGACACCTTAAATATAGTCAAAAATAATATTTTTTAAGAAATGCATTGCAAAAAGAAAAGAGTAGGACCTTTCTGTAAATATTCTCTGACATTAAAACATGTAGGTCAGGCTCAGAAGCAGCATCTAAATATTACACCTACTGCAATCAAGTTAAATAAAGTCGTAATGATTTGTTTATTTGTTTTTTTAAATCCCTCGGTCAGGTACGCTGCATAATTTATATCCTACACTACAGCCTTGGTGATTTTTTTAATTGCACATTTCAAATTTCAATTTGAACTTGATTAATTGGTCAGCCCTATTGTTGGACATTTTGAGCCTGATAGAAGATGTGAGTCCTGAAACTGGGAGGAAAATCCTTTTTGTACAAATCAATCAGGAGTAATGGAGCTTTATGGGTTTGGGTACTAGAATGGGGTTTAATGTCAAAAACCAAAAAGAAAGAAACGACACAGGCCCATTTACATTTTTTTATTTTAAACAACAACATCAACAACAACAACAAAACAAAAAAAAATTGAAACGTGACGTATTTTTTGTACATTTTATAGCAAAAATAAAACAAAAGTCGAAAATGGGTCTATTTTTCATGTCTTTATTTGATGGGCCTGTGTTCTGTCTTTTGTATTTTGGTTTTTGACAGAAAAACTGATTGTACTTTAGAACCCTTTGTTTTGTTTGTTTTTTTTAAAGGAAAAAATACATTTTAGAACATTTCAGTTTTCAAATAGCTACTGAATATATGCGAGTGACTAAAAACAAAGGTTTATTTTTGGGAGATGATGTTAATCCTGACACTGAGCGGTAACCCGGAACCATCTGCTTGCGGAACCTCAATGCCCTTGCTGTTGGTGCCTCCGGACCTATTACGAAGACGGACCGGAACAGTCTACAGCTAGTAAACAGCCAGCTGCGGCCCTGTTCGTACTCTTCATGGTGTCTCGCAAACAGTCTCGGGTGTGGAAGTACGTGGAGGAGGGAAGCTTACTGAAGCTCAAGTCGTACCTGCGGAAGCACCGGGACGTGGACGTGAACTTCTCCCAGGGCAAGAGGCAGAGGAGCCCGCTGCAGCTGGCCTGCTGCCTGGGAGACGACGCTGTGCTGCGGCTGCTGCTCAAACACGGAGCCGATGTTCTTCACCGGGACCGCAGGGGGAACACGGCGCTACACACCGCAGCTAACAGGGCTCTAAAACACGGAAAAACAGGTGAGGAAGACGTAGATAGGAGATTTATCTAACTAATATCTTTAACTACTTTTGCTTTTGAACCTTTTTTTTTTTTTTAACTTGGGCTTTTTATTGTCGTAGCGTACGATGATCTGGTCGTGCCTCTGAGAAAACACTGTCCAGAAGCTCTGAATGCTACGAACACAGCTGGAGTCACACCTCAGGACCTGCTGAACTGGAGGAAACACTCAGAGGTAAATAACTGTTTAATAATAATAGACAGTAATCAACATGGCTGCTGCTTCATTTTTGAATCCTTTGTGTGTCATAAACAAAACAAAAACACACTGAAATACACAACAAGGCGCCATTTACTACATCTGGGCCTGTACTGCAAAGCAGGATTTGGGGTTAGCGAGGTAGCTTCAGGTTAAATCCTGGGTTTTCAGTCCTACGATGGTGGTTCACTTGTTACCGGTGTGGAGCGTGAACTGTGAGGGATCACTGAGGACTGTGAGAGTTTTTCAGGACCAGCAAAACCCCTTAGTGCACCCTGACCAGGATCTCTATGAGCTCCTGTCTTCCTTCATCCATTTAGTTTCCTGCTGGCTACAGACGATGTCAAAGCTACTTCATATTTTAATATCGCCCCACAGCAGTAAACTGACTTTAGCATTAAACCTTGTATTTGTAGGATATGTTAATAAGCTACACTGCTTTGAATTGTGTTTGTTCTTAATTTGTTCCCACGTCCTTTCTACACCGCCAGCATTATTTTGAACAAAATAATCTTAAGTAATGTCTCAAGAGGCAGCCTAAAGTCATATACGTGCTACAAAATACAAACAAAAATGTTATGATCTGTGTTTCTGCCCTTGTTTCAAATTGCAAAGTCTGGTTCACAGCCCATTTGTGCGGTTTTTAAATGGGTCATGCAGGTGTCTATAAAAATGTAGCCCCTCAGTAAAATTAACTCCCTGTGATCCAGTCTGCAGTCCACACATGTAAGTGTCGCTCTCATATAAAGCTTCTTTGTTCCATCTTCCAGCTCTGGTCTACAGTAAGGCGTCGCCAGGCAGCTGCAGCAGTTGTTTGGCTGCACCAGGTTTAGCCATAACACACATCAGAGTGAAGTTATTAAATCAAACTTCAAAACAATGTATGGGATCACGTAGCTTTGATACATCAGAGCGCATTTTCATTTGAAAAACCGCTGTTGTACCCACACAGAAGCCCACAGACGACCTCTTTGCATGACAGGTGGTACACTGAAGGGAGGCTCAGGCGCAGAAACCCACAGAGAGCAGACACCAATACTGAGCAATGTTTAATGCAAGACACATTTCTGCAAAGGAGAAGTCTTAATTTTGATAGAAGAGAGCAAGTAAAGCTTAAACATTTTTGAGAAACGTCACTTTTCTGCAAGTCAAATTAGATAGCATGACCGGGGAAGCTTTGTTTTTCCATCATTCAAAAAGGGCAGGAATACAATTTGCATTTCAGGCCATTTCAGTCTATTTACGAATAGATGTTGGGTTAGTAAGAGTGGAAATATACAAATAGTCTAGAAAGAAAAGAAAAAAGTCAGATATGCCACAAGTCTATACATTAGGCAACACATTAATTGAAAGGAATCTTCAGATGTGCTTATTGTCTGATACGAGCCTTCATGATGGAGCAGTGATCATATTTTACTATAAACTGATGAACTGATGCATTCACACAGTCAGCAGGGTTCTGCCAGCTTACCTTTCTGGCTTTGGTCGCTGCAACACGGCTGCTTTTAGCTCCTGTCATGTTTTTTTACATTATTCCTTATATTTTGTAAAGCTGATATTCTGCTCCTCAGCGGTAAAGTGAGCCGCTCTGCAGCCAGACTTAGTCGTGATTGGTCAAATGCTGATAACCCATTTTATTGCTCAGATCAGACAAACCTGGGTTGACTTACTGAGTTGATAACCACCGTCGTAGGACCGGTTATCCTGAGTGCGATTGTTAGGGTTAGTCAAGCCGGATCTCTGAGAGATATCCCGGGTATGGTGATCTTGCTTTGTAGTACAGTCCCCAGGTTGAGCTCGTGTCCCCGATGCAGCGGTCGTGAGTTTGAGTCCCGCTCATGGCCCTTTCCTGCAAGTCCTTCCCCCGTTCTTCTCCCCCACTGTCCTGTCTCTCTCTTCACTGTACTATCAAACAAAGGCAGTTGAACAAATAACTGTTTTCAAAATCATGTCGTTTCTGTCGTCTTTAAAGCAAAAATGCAAAATATCCTCAAATTCTAACTTCTCAGATGGGAAGATTTGCTGCTTTTTTGTTTTCTGTGAGTAAACATTTCCTATTTTCTTACATTGTCAACAAAACAAATAATTTATTAGTACAACTAATTATAGATACGTTGATCAGTCATGAAAATGATTGGTAGTTGTAGCTAAAGCTGTTACTGTCTGCCAACTGTGATAACAATTTATCACAGATATGCACATTGATGAACTGCTACCTTTATGTTTAGTCAATGATTGTGTATATTTCAGTAACTTAGCAACAAGAACTGTGAATAAACGTGTTGGAGAACATTTTGACACCCATCACACACCTTCTTTTTTTTTTGTCCCCTTCTATTGACAGTCTGATTGTGTGAATCGCTGCATTCTAACTGACGAAAGCGGCAACTTTCACAAAACAGAACTTGACACTAGATCTGAGGAAACGCACGCTGACTGTACGAGCAGCTCAGGAATCCTGTGAATGTGACAAAATTGAATCTGACCCTGTAGTTTACTGTTTTGAATGAAGTTTCAGTTCTCTCTGAGTTGACCATCATGCCTTCACTTTCATGTAATGTTTGTACGTTTATCCCAGACTGCAGGAAACATGAACCGTCCAGCTGAAACCGACCCCGAGAAGGCGTGGCTGGAGAAGCTGTTTGGTGAATGCGAGGATGAATTCTGTGAAACCTTTGGAGTCTATGATGGTAAATGATGGTTACACTCTCTCCTTAAAGCTGAATTTAATATCCAAGTTTCTCCACTTAATCGTACGCTGCTGTTTTTCTTCCACTTCAGACTTTCTTCCTGTCGACGACGACGAGGAAGACTTTGGCGACTGGGCCGATCGCATCAGGGAAGCGTACTTTGATAAAAAACACGCCGAAGCTCAGAGACTGGCAGCGTCGAGTTCTGGATGGAAAAGGAAGAAGAGTAAACAGGAGAGAGAACAGGAGGAGCAGAGCAACAAGGAGCTGCACGAGCGGCTGCAGAGGGAACACGAAGAGTATCTGGCTCGAGCCGCTCGCAAAGAGGAAGAGACTCGGCGGGGCAAGAAGCGCCGGTACGACGAGAGGTGCGCCGCCACGTTTCAAGGTGGCTCCTCCTCCAGCGCCGCCGCTAAGCTGAGCTACGCCGACATCCCCTGGCCGGCTCCGAGAGGCACGGTCCAGGAGATGGTGGAGGTGATGCTGCACGGCGTGGACCGGAAGGACGTGGCGGTGTTTCGGAAAGTCGTCCTGAAGCAACAGGCGCTGTGGCATCCGGATAAATTTGCTCAGAGATGTGGAACCCGGTTGGAGGAGAAGGACAAACAGAGGATCCTGGACACGGTCACGGCTCTGTCGCAGGAGCTCAACAGGCTGGCTCAGAGTCTGAGGACTTAAAAAGCAACACATATCCGAGACCTGCTCCTGTGGAAATAGGAGTTTGGAAAGAGTTGCAAAAAGAATATCCAGCACACTGTTTACTTTCTTTAGGTAGAAATCATACAGGCAGGCAGCATTTGTGTCACACTTTATTAGGTACGCCTGTGAAATAAGAAAAAAAAATCTTTATTAATCCCAAAGAGAATTCTTTTGCCAGCTTTTGCTAAGAAAAAAACACATGACACAGCATAGGAAGGGCAGAAAAACAGTAAGATATGAGTATGATACATTACTGAAAATAGTAAAAGTACAAAAAATTAATGCTGGCAATGACCCTGAGATACAACAACTCAGTGGATGGTTCTGCTTTCTATTTATTATCAAGGTCATCCTGGGTGATGTGATGCACTGGAGCAAGTTTTTCTGATATTTTGGTGAGCAAAATATTTTTAAATGTAATGCCAACAAAAACTAGAAATGTACAAGTTTTGTAAAGTAATACAAATGTATGGCAGAGCTGTTCCATTGGATTTGGCAGGTGTACCTAATAAAGTGTCTGGTGAATGTAAAATAACTTAAAATACCAAACGGAGGATACAAACATCCCCCAGAGGACTTCAACAGTTGTGTTCCCTTAATGCCCAAACCGAGAGGCTTTTCTCAGGTGTCTTGCAACTTGTCAGTGTTTTTCCCCTTCTTCATCTGCTCCAGCTCCAGTCTGACTAGTAAACAAGTTAAGAGGAGAAGACCTTGCTCAAGGGCGCCTCGGTGTTGGTGAGGCTCAGATCTGTCAGCCGGCTGATCGAAGCGGTGACCTTTGGGCTTCGGGCTTCACGTCTCTAATCTTTAAAATCGATCCCAGTGTGTTCCTGGTGTGTGGAAATGTAAATGGCTTTCAGACCGAAGCGTGTCGGTGTGATGGATTTTCAATATTTAATCTGATTGGAATGTTCCTAAAATGTGAGTGTGCTGGATTTAGAACACTGAGGGTGGGTTTTGGGCAGAAATTTGTTTTATTGGTTGATTTCCTGATTTTAAAATAAGAATAATAATAATAAAAAAATAACAAAATCCACATTTCTGAAACCCTGAGTAACGTTTGTGTTGAGTCATGTAGTCTGGAGTCTCGTTTTTAAAAAACACACACATCTGCATAATAATAATTTATAACCACCGACTTTTATTTATTTATTTTTTTTAATTTACTAAAAACGTCAAAATGAGCATATCAACCCAAAAAACACCCCGAATAAAGGATTTCGCACAAAGAAGCAGAGCAGATGGTCGGGCCGCTTTCAGCGATGGAACGGAGTAAAGAAGATGCGCCGGTTGCCAGGTTTGTGAGCTAATCCCCCCTTTTCAGAGACGGTTGCTATTCATGTGCATAATTTAACACGAAACAAAGGATTGAATAGAACCGTTATCATCCCAGGTTTATGTTGGGGCTATTTCTATTAATAAAGGGGCAAAAAGTGAGGAAAGTGCATACTTTCCTCTGTTACAAGGAAGCTACTTACAAAATTAATGCAACTCCTGGATGATTTCAGCTGTAAGTGTGAAGGTTTGTGATTAATGTCACTGAGGGGGTTTTACTAAAGTTTGTGGTGTTTTTTTGTCTTATTATAGACATTTTATTTGCTAATTTTATGAACCTTTTGTTTGGATTTGGAGAACATTGGTGTGGTTATATTGCCAAATAAGTTAAAATGTTTTGCAGGACTCCAGGTTAAGCCTCCAAAGAGCGGCTACATCATGTCCCCTTTAATATTAGACAGAATTAGAATATTAGGTTATTGCAATATTACAGACACATGCAGAAAAGGTGCAATTTGGTACATAAAAATGTGGGAATTTAAGTATCACAATCCTTTTTATTTGCAGAAAGACCCTCAGATTTCATGTTTAATGTATCCAAACTACATTTATGGACATTTATTATTTATTTTGCTCCTCCCTGGCTGATAACTGCCACATCACACCTCTATTAGTCCACAGCAGGCTGATGTAACACCTCTTTTTTTTTTCTAAAACTCCCAGAAACCTTTCGATTATTTCGGCGGATGCGACGCTACCTGGCAACCCGGAGACGCAATCTGTGTCAATTGCCGGGCGACGTAGCGCGAATAAAGGCCGTAGCCTATTTCTGACTGTGGCTTATTTTTACCGAGCGAGGCTGCCTGTAGCCCCGTTTGCGTTCACGGCGGCTTGATCGTTGATCCCTTCGGTTTCTGTTGGGGTTTTTTCGTGCCGGTGCTCGGTTCCTGCGCCGCCGGTGTTTGCGTCGTCGTTTGTTTTTTTCTTCTTTGCGCGCAGCACTGACAGGTGTTCAAGGTAAAGCGCCCACAGGATGACGCCTTTCTCCGCTCGATCTGGAAGGTGCATCAGGGAGGTTTCTGTCTTTGTTTTGCTTATGCAATAAAAAAGAAAGAAACGATTTTGAAGGGAGAACGTCGCCCAGGTCCAGGATGAGGATGATCCCCCTTCAGCAAAATCGTCATTTTTAATGGACAATAATTAATCCTCACGGGGGTGTTAATTGGCTCAGGGAAGGGGGGCGGGGGAGAGATTTGGTTGCGTTTTGTGATGTCCTCCTTCGGTTTGTGTTGAGCGGCTCGTTGTGCAGGTTCAGCAGCTTCAGACAGACTGAGAGGAGGAGGAGGTGGAGGAGGAGGAGGAGAAGCTGTCTGTCTGACTGCCTCTAAAGATGGTGTTTCGGAGTGAGGAGATGTGCTTGGCGCAATTGTTCCTGCAGTCCGGCTCTGAATATGACTGCATTAGTGAGCTGGGGGAGCTGGGGCTGGTCGAGTTTCGAGATGTAAGTAGAGAGGATGATGATGATGATGATGATGATGATGATGCACAAACACTCATTTATCTCTGGAAGCATTTGTGTTGAAATGTGTGCACTGTTTTCTCCAATAAAGGGCAGAATACAGTGATTCTGCATTACCTCTTTGTCATTTTGCATGTAAGGGAGGGGGTGGACAGGAAAACTAGCTACGTTAATGTTCCAAATAAGCAAGCTTCCAACCATATTCTGTCTTTTTTTTAATCTAGAAATACCAAAAACAAGCAGTGACCTACATTAGAAGCAGCCTGAGTGTATTTACTGATGCCACGGTGACAGTTCTCGTTGCACCTGCACTGACTGATGCAGTAACTTGCAGCCACCTGACTTGTGATGCTCCTCTGGTTTCAGCTCAACCCGAGTGTCAGCTCGTTCCAGCGGCGCTTTGTCAGCGAAATCAAGAGATGCGAGGAGATGGAGAGGATTCTGGGTAAGAGAGCAGCACCTGGGACTGTGCATGTGGTGGGTGTAGCCCCCTTTCTGATGCACACACCTGGATTATTTATCATCAGCTGATTTGGTTTGTGTTAAAAAAGCTCCCACAGAGATTCAGGTTTCACAGCTTGCTCTGACACTTTAGTGGCAATTACCAGGAAACAAACTGTCAGCGGTTTTTGTGTGGACAGGCTACCTGCTGAGGGAGATCCAGAAGGCTAATATAGCCGTTCCAGAGGAGGATGAGAGTCCTCTCGCTCCTCCGCCCAGACAAGTCCTCGAGATCATGGTGAGTGTCCAGACTTTGCCTGTTTTATGGGCATTTTTATTGCGTTTAGTCGAGTGTTTACATGTGTTTTGATCACATTTGGAGCCTGCTGGGATGTTTTTCTTCTTAAAATGCTCTGGGAACATTGTTCAAAGTTCTTGGGGTGTTTATTTCCCAGAATATCCTCTTTAAAGCTAGAATAATGTTCTCTAAAGACATTGCTAGACCATTGTGCTCTAATATTCTTAGAGCGTTCTAGCATGAGCTCCTCAGCAACATCCCCAAAACATCCTCAGAACATTGCACGCAAAGTGTTCAACCTTTGCTATAATCACAATGCAGGAACGTTTATGTAAGACGTTCTGTCACTGGAGGATGGGATAATATTCCTAAAACATTTCTGAACGTTAGTTTGAGAACGTTCTTCTTTTGTTATCGTGCCACACAATCTGTTGCTATGACAACATCCTCCAAACATCCTTTGAATGTTGCAGCTTATGTCTTACTTTTAACCTCATAGGAACATTATTGGAAATGGAAATGAATGAAATTAAAATGTCTTCTTTAAAACATTATTAGAGCTTGTAGGTGATGTTAGTCAGCTGTTGTGGGAACGTTCCCTGCTAGCTGGGGAAACGTCATTAATCCTGACCTTAGACAAACCTGTAGCTATTCATATAACATTTGTCAGATCCTGATCATATTCAAGTTTTTGGTGTCTACAGCAGTGGAGGCATGTTGAAGTCGTGTGATGTTTACACTCAGGAAATTACTCATGTGTTTGTGGCTGCACCATTCCGTCAAATTGAATACTTTCGGTTTCTTTTTATCGCATTTTGTACATATTCTTGCAACATATTTGGTATCTTTGGAGGCTTCAGAGTCGCCACAGGAATCTCCAGTAAACATCAAGTGGTTTTTACTTTGTCAAACATCTATATGGTGTTTTTAAATATGTTGGAAGACACATCATGACATCCACATCCATTAATGAGTGTAAGAG